AAAAAAAAAAAAAAGGAAGAAACAACAGAAGAATATTTCTTCAAGTTAGTTAGGTGCCGCAGGGGTTGATTGTTCTGCTTTTCAGGATCTTCCAGTTACCTCGGGTTTTCTAATTCTGGAAGGCCCTCCAGAGGTGTACGTGAGGGTCACGGGGGTCGTCATAGCGTCCATGGCACCATCAGTCAGCCTAAAAGACCGTACAATTTCTTCTTCCTCTCCACTGGAGAGAAAGTGGCATCAGTTAGTACAGAGCGCCGTGGGTTAGACTTGAGGAAGAATGTTTCCCCATCTAGGCAGAGAGGTGGAGACTGATTAAAGCAGGCTCTTCTCAGGGCATCCCCAGGTGTAGGTGGGACACGTAGGTTGGCTACGGCCCGTCCTGCCCGAAAGCAAGGGATGTGCAAGAGTGTCCCACGGTGGGAAGTCTCGGAAGCTCTGGCCTGGCATCCGCGCAGCCTCCTGGTCTGCGGCTGGGGCCTGTGGATTTTTGCACCGTTTCCCATTCTGAGTCTTCTTTCCAGTCAGGACAGTTCAACGAGGACATGATCCCCACCGTGGGTTTCAACATGCGCAAAATCACCAAAGGGAATGTGACCATCAAGGTGAGAGCTCGGAGGCTGGGCGGGGGTGGGAGGGTGCAGAGGACTGTGTGCGTGTTGGGGAGGGCAGCCAAGGCCCCTGGGAGGAGTGAGCTAAGGGAGGGCAGAGGCCAGGGTCTCCCTGCTGAGGAGCTGGGAAAAGAGAGCTGTGAACTCTCTTTCCAGGGGAGAACTGGAGAGAAAGCAGGGGAGGGGAGGCAGAGGAGAGTAGGGCAGAGTAGGAGGGGACGTTTGGGACCCAAGACAGGTTGTGGTGGCCTGCCCACTGCTGAGGCTATGTCACCCTCTTATTGCTCAGCTCTGGGACATCGGGGGACAGCCGCGCTTCCGCAGCATGTGGGAACGCTACTGCCGAGGAGTGAGCGCCATCGTGTAAGTACGTGGGAGGCGGCGGTCTCCAGCCTGACCTGGCTCCCCTAGCCCTGCTTCCTTCGGGGATCTCAGAGGCACAGGGCTGTGTTAGACGCGATCCTCGGTTCATGACCCAGTTTCGGTGCATGGCCTGCCTTTATTTTGCATGCTGCTTGTTTCTTAGTGGACAATTGCCCTGGGCACTCACTACCCAATCTAAGAATCAGGCTATCCACCAGCCAGATGCACCTGTGCATCCTCTTCATTGACTCCCCCAACCCAAAGGCACCCTTGTCTTGAATTTTGTGTGGTTTAAATGTTTCATTCTCTTGCTTTTTAAAAATAACGCTTTTTGGCTGAGCATGATGTCACACACCTGTAGTCCCAGCTACTTGGGAGACTGAGGCAGGAGGATTGCTTGAGCCCAGGAGTTTAAGGCCAGCCTAGGCAATATAGCAAGATCCTGTCTTTAAAAAAATAAAATAAAATAAAATAAATTTTAAACATTGAAAAATGGTGGGGCATGGTGGGAGGCCAAGGCAAGCAGATCACTTGAGATCAGGAGTTCAAAACCAACCTGGGTAACATGGCAAAACCTTATCTCTACAAAAGTACTAAAATTAGCTGGGCCTGGTGGCATGCACCTGTAGTCCCGGCTACTCAGACAGCTGAAGCGGGAGGATCTCTCGAGTCCGGGAAGTCGAGGCCACAGTGAGCTGTAATCCCACCACTGTACTTCAGCCTGGGTGACAGAGTGAGAACTTACCTCAAAAAATAATAATAAGGGGCCGGGCATGGTGGCTCATGCCTATAATCCCAGCACTTTAGGAGGCCAAGGTGGGTGGATCACGAGGTCAGGAGTTCGAAACCAGCCTGACCCCCATCTCTACTAAAAATACAAAAATTAGCCAGGGGTGGTGGTGAGTGCCTATAATCCCAGCTACTCAGGAGGCTGAGGCAGGAGAGTCACTTGAACCCAGGAGGCGGAGGTTGCAGTGAGCTGAGATCACCCCACTGCACTCCAGCCTGGGCGACAGAGTGAGACTCTGACTCAAAATAACAATAATAATTTATTTTTTGGCCGGGCGCGGTGGCTCACGCCTGTAATCCCAGCACTTTGGGAGGCCGAGGCGGGTGGATCACAAGGTCAAGAGATCGAGACCATCCTGGTCAACATGGTGAAACCCCGTCTCTACTAAAACTACAAAAAATTAGCTGGGCATGGTGGCGCGTGCCTGTAATCCCAGCTACCCAGGAGGCTGAGGCAGGAGAATTGCCTGAACCCAGGAGGCGGAGGTTGCGGTGAGCCGAGATCGCGCCATTGCACTCCAGCCTGGGTAACAAGAGCGAAACTCCGTCTCAAAAAAAATAAAATAAAATAAAATAAAATAATTTATTTTTTATATATATATGCTCAAACAATAGATTCTTCAGAGTAAACAAGTTACTTTTTAACCTGATAACAAAAAATATCTTGCTAAATGAAATATTCTGGATTTTCCTTTGCCTTTTTTCACTCTAACCTTATTTAGTCTTTCCATGAAAACGTAAGTGGGTCACTTTGAGAGGGACTTACAGCTAATCCCAAAGGGCCCACGCTTTTCCACATGAGTAACGGCTTCCCCAGCGTAGCACTTGGAAGCCAACGGCAGGCCCCAGGAATCCCTGCAGCTGTTCGCTCCCATAGACTCAGAAACACCCGCGGAGTACCTGCCTTGAGCCAGGCAAGGTAGCCCATGGGTCCCCAGGTGACAAGCTGCCACAGATGCTCTCACCTCCAAGCAGCAGCTCCTTCTCTTCCTTGCACCACCTCAGCCTGTGATGTCAACATGCTTGTCCCCACCCTGCCTTTGTCTCCAGGTACATGGTGGATGCTGCTGACCAGGAGAAGATTGAGGCCTCTAAGAACGAGCTTCACAACCTACTGGACAAACCTCAGCTGCAGGGCATCCCGGTCAGCAGACCTGAGGGAGCGGGATGGGGAGGGAGACCGGCTGGGAAGTCACTGGGGGCAGGTTAAAATCAGTCATGGCGGCCGGGCGTGATGGCTCATGCCTGTAACCTCTTTGGGAGGCTGAGGTGGATGGATCACAATGTCAGCAGTTCAAGACCAGCCTGGCCAAGATGGTGAAATCCTGTGGCAGGTGCTTGTAATCCCAGCTACTCAGGAGGCTAAGGCAGAGAATTGCTTGAACCTGGGAGGTGGAGGTTGCAGTGAGCCGAGATGTTGCCACTGCACTCCAGCCTGGGTGAGGGACTCAGGAGGCCAGCTTACCACCCAGACAACCTGGGCACGGCTGGCCTAGACCTCATCCTCATCCTCCCTTCTCCTTAGGTCTTAGTCCTGGGTAACAAGCGAGACCTCCCGGGAGCATTGGATGAGAAGGAGCTGATTGAGAAAATGTGAGTTGGGTGGCTCTTTATATTACTTTCTGCTCTCCCAATTCCCCAACCGCCAGACCGACAGCTGAGGCTTGCTGCTGTTCTCAGGATTAGCCACACGGCGGCGGCAGAGCCCACCTTTTCAGGAGCCTCACCCTCCCTGTTGTAGCCTCCTGAGTAAGAAAAAGGCCCTGCTGTCCCCTAGCCCCAGACCCCCCGGGCGATCATGGCTTCAGCCGACTCTGCTCTGGTTTCCCCCAGGAATCTGTCTGCCATCCAGGACCGAGAGATCTGCTGCTACTCCATCTCCTGCAAAGAAAAGGACAACATTGGTGCGTGGGATTGGGCAAAGGGAGAGGGGAGAGGCCTTACTGGGTGTTTTCGTGACTCTCAAAAGTTCTGGCTCCACACGTTCCTTTAATCCAAACTCTGTGGCTCTCGGGTAGAAAAGGCAGCCGGGCAGCCCAGATTCTGAGCGCTGTCCCAGCTCCTCCCCAAGCGGTTGTGTGGTCTTGGGCAAATTCATCCCCGCTCTGGGCTTTCCCTCCTCGCTTCTAAGATTCCAGAGTTGGACGCGGTGATTCTCAGGCCCCTGCTGGCTCTGACATGCTGTGGCTCTGGCTCTTTCCCAGCGCCGGGTCCCGCCACCACCGTTCAGAGCTGTGTGGCGCTTGCCAGCTCTGGACTTCTTGTTTATTTTTGAGAAAGGGTCTCGCTCTGTCACCCAGACTGGAGTTCAGTGGCGCCATCATAGCTCACTGCAGCCTCCAACTCCACTCCTGGGTTCAAGTGATCCTCCCACCTGAGCTTCCCACATAGCTGGGACTCCAGGTGTGGCCACCGCTCTGCCACCTCTGGACTTCTGTTACCCTTACGTTTGGTTTCTTGGGCCTCTCTGCCGCCCCAGCATGGCCAGCACTTGCAGGCCTTATAAGCCGTTCTCTTCTCCCCCCTCAGACATCACCCTACAGTGGCTTATTCAACACTCAAAGTCACGGAGAAGCTGAGACTGCAGCCCTTCTCCCTCAGACCAGGGACCGTCATCATCTAAACCTGAAGCCGAGCTCCCCGCCCACCCCCTTCGTCCCCCTAAGCCCACCCCTCCTCACCCAGTGTGAGGCGGGCCCTCTGGGGACCCCAGAGTCCTGTTCTGCTGAGGTTTCAACTCCTGTTTTTATTGTAAAATAAATTGCCCCCTATTCTGGCCCCCTAACTTCTCACCCTTCCCCTCGCCTTTGTCCCTTCACCCAGCCCTGCCGTCCTGACAGCAGCCCTGGGCCGCAGCCCCCGCCCCTGGCTCTTCCCCAGTCGCTCCTGTCCCTCCCTTTCCAACACTCTCTGTTGTTGTCCTGTGTGTACAGTATATATATGTATATATATTTTAATTTTTTAATTTAAGCAAAGACTAAAATCAACCATTTGATGCTGCAGGGGCCTTTCAGGATCTGGGAGGGGGCAGTCTGGAGGAAGGAGGGAGACGCAGGTGTACTTGGGGCAAGTTCAGATCAGGAGAGGTAGAGGCTGGCACCTGGGGCAGGTACCAGCCTGGGCACTGGTGGCCACCCCCGTCCCGTGTGTTTCCACCGCCCAGTCTGGCTTGTCCCGGCAGCGCTTGAATGCCACAGGCTGGCAGGGGCCTCCAGAGGCCCCTCCCCTCAACCCCCAGCCTGGGTAGGGCCACCAGGTGCGACCAGGTACCAGAGACCACCAGGCGCACGGGGCAGAAAGCCAGTGTCCATGCCCCAGCAGCCCCCTCCTGCCTATCCCTGGCTCCCAGCTCCCGCCCCTCCCCAGGGCCCCCACCTCCACGGCCCACTTCGTTTTCTGTTCTCATTTTGCAGAGTTGCACAAGGAGAGAACTCAGCATGGGGGGTTGGTTCTTTGGGTTCTATTTGTTTATTTGTTTAATTTAATGATTTGTAAAGTGATGTTCCTCTTCCTTTTTTACACTTTTCAGCTCATATTTAACCTCTGTTTGGAAAATGATTCTTGTAACTGTACATTTTTTTTGCCTCCTAATAACAATGACAAGAACAAAAATAAATGACCAATTTTGTGTTGGGGGGGTGTATGGTGCCAGTTACTTTTCTGCAGTTGGCATGGGTTCCTCGGTGGGCCCACAGGGCCACCAGCACACCCCTACACTCTGGTCACCAACAGAGCCATGGGGCGTGAGCACGTGCCCACGCTGGAGCACAATGGCCCTGCACAAACGGCCTCCCACACGTGCGTCGGGCTCTCGCACTGCCTCCTTCTCATTCTCTTCAGATTTCCGTGTAGTCCCAGCTTTGAGCCAGCAGCTGCCACGTGGGGCTGCAGAGCTCTGTTGAGGGAACTGCCTAGGGCTGGGTCAGGAGGCAGTGGCACAGGCTGGATGCTGTTTCGTATGGGAACTAATCTGCCCTCTTACACCCAGTTCAGGCCTCAGCCCCTCTTTCCCAGGCCCTGGATCTCACCGGCAGCCAGGGTTGGGCCAGAACCAGAATCCTGTCCCTCCGGCCGCCAGTCCCTACCCCAGAACCAGTTAGCTGTGCTCTAGGGATAGGGCTGGTTCCACAGAGCCTGGGGGATCCTCACCGCCTTTGCTGCCTCTCAGTGCCAATGCTGTGCGTTTCCCAGTAGGAGCCCTGCTCTCGCTCCTCTGCCGGATCTGAGTCCTCCCCAACCTTACCGTCAGAGCTGGTCTTCCCTCAGCACTGCCCACAGCTGCTGCCTCAGAGCCTGGGAGCCCTGCTGAGGCCATCTTGACCCAGTTTCACAGTAAGCCCCACCTCCTCCCGCTCCACCTCCCTCGGCCTCTCCTTCACCCTGGAAAATGGAGCAGGCCCTGCAGAACACCCCAGCTCTTCTCATCACTCACATTTCAGGAAAAAAGGAGCGGAATTGTCCCTTAGTCCTGAGATTGGGGATCTTGACTTCCAGTTCTGGGCGCCCCCAGCCCCTCACCTTCATTGGTGCCCAGGGCTTCCTCCTGGAGGCAGTCATCAGAGCTGCCCTGCCTGTAAAGGCAGATTCCCACTGCCACAAAGTTGGAGGAAAGAATGGATGGAATTTGGCATCTGAAGCTAAGTGATTCTAGGGTGCCTCCCAACTCTGAAGGAAATGGGACATACCCTCCTGGCTAAGGAGGCTGAAGGGGGGCCTGGGCTCTGTTGCCTGCCCTCTCCTGGCTGCAAGTGCGGCTGGGTTTGCCCTGGGCCTGGGATCCCGGGAGAGGACCAGCAATCTCACTCCTCTGGGGCTGTTTCCAGGCTGAGCTGCCCTTCGCAGGTCCTGTTATCCTCCCTGAGGGTTGAGGTTTGAGGTAAGAGAGCTGGTTACCAGGAAGCAAGTGAGCATCATCCTTCCACAGTGCCTGCAGGCAGCAGGGGCCAATATGACTGAAAGAATTTGGTCATATTCTTTTCGGACTTAGCCCACCTGCACCCAGGTGAATAAACAGCCGTGTTGCTCACACAAAACCTATTTGAGGGTCTCTTCATTCAAAGCGCACGTTTTAAACATTTGGTGCCGAAGCCCGGGACGGGGGAACTCCTACGGGAGACCAAACCCCTGTTCCTGTTCTGGTGCTCCCTCCTTGAAGAGATCTACCTACTGACCTGAGGTCAGCAGACCAGCCCACAGATGCACACCACCCGCTGTTTTGGTAAGCAGTCTCTCTTTTTTGCTTTCCCATTCTTCTGTCTTTTCCTTTCCACTTCTTCCCCCTTTCAGTTTCATCCTTTTTCCACCACAAAGACAAGGAATTTTTAAAAATTAAAAAAAAAGCCGGGCGCGGTGGCTCACGCCTGTAATCCCAGCACTTTGGGAGGCCGAGGCGGGTGGATCACGAGGTCAAGAGATCGAGACCATCCTGGTTAACACGGTGAAACCCCGTCTC